ACAAAATTTTTGAAAGGAAACCGAACAATTATTATAAGAAATCATTGAAGAAAGGGAATGAGGAGTAGTGCACTAAGAATTTTTACCAGAAGGTGCCTTGGTTAAGCCGTTGGAGAATAAGCTGAGATGATAGTCCTTGATATAGGTTGGCTGGTGTCTCACTCTAGTGGAGTGTCTCAACTCATTTTCTGAATATTGCTGCAAATCAGTAGTAAGGGCAGGTTCTATTTGAGGGGTTTCTGTATGGGGAAGTGGTTCTGTATTGGGTGGTTCTGTGGTAGTTTGTTCTACATCAGAAAGTTTAGTTGATGGTAATTGATGTAATGTGTTAACAAATTCAGAATCAATGGCATCTAGACTCAAGTGTGAATTAGTGATCACACCATGTGATAAAGAATCTGTCATAGAATTATTGGAATCATTAAAAGGAAAATTTGTCTCATAAAAGATCACATTCCTAGAAATAAAAACTTCTTTGGATTGTAAATCATAAAGAATATAACCCTTTGTCCCTTCTTTATATCCTATGAACACAAATTTTCTAGCTCTTGAATTAAATTTCGTCCTATGTGCTTCCAAGGTGGATGCATACGCCAAACAACCAAAAACTTTAAGGTGCATAAAGAGAGGTAGTTTGCTATATAGTAGCTCATATGGTGTTCTGTTTTCAAGCAAAGGAGTTGGTAACCGATTGATCAAATGAACAACATGTTGTACAGAAAAATTCCAAAAAAATTTGGGTAAGTTAGCCTGAAAATTTAAGGCTCTTGCTACATTCATAATATGTTGGGGTTTCCTTTCAACCACCTCATTTTGTTGGGGTGTCTCCACACAACTAGTCTGATGCAGGATCCCTTTACTTGAAAAGAACTCATGCATAGCAAACTTTTCGTCCATTCCATTATCATCCACCCTAAAACCTTGTGCCACCTTTGAAGAACTTGATCCTTGGAGTAGGCATCCTCTTCCTTTGTTCATCATCTCATGTTCATGCAAGTAAGGATTCCATCACTAGGGTAATGCCTATAGTCATTCATTCGTTGCTCCTTGCCAGTCTCTTTATGTTTGAGGTTATTGTATATTTGTAGGCTCATGGAATCTGCCCATTGCATATGCACGTTGAAACTGATATAATCGTTCATGACCAGTTTGATCCTTCATTTAATGCCCGCACTCCACAACGACTCCATGTCAACTGAGGCACTCACATGGTCCAATCGCACCTGCGAACGGTCCTTCCCGAAGCGGTGGGCAATATATTGGCTTCAGGAGGCCCCTTGCGATGGACCAAACGACGGCGCCGAAACTGCAGGCGTAGCTGCAGGAATCTCGAAACTCGGCCCCTTGTCGCGAGCCTCCACAGAGGCAGAAGCAGGCGCCCCCTGCTCGGCAACGGGAGGGTCCACGTCTGGTGCTTCCGACCTCGGAGGCACCGGAACCTCAGCAACATTCCCCGCCTGCAAAAGACAGAACTTTCTTCCTAAGACACGCGTCAAAAAAAAGAATAGAAATGCAGGATAAAAGGCAAGACACCTACCTCAGCGACCTGAGCGACCTGTTCAGCAGCCTGGGTCACCACCTCGGCAGCCTAAGCAACCTGCTCAGCAGTCTGAGCCACCTTCCCGGTGGCCACTTGAGGAGCCTCCTCAGGCGGCAGACTCCCAATAAGGTCCACCGCGTCAGCATCAGCAGCCTTGGAGGTCACCTCCTCCGCATCTAGAGGGGAAGAGGTCCCCCCGACCTCCTTCTCTCCCCTCTTTCTTTTTCTGTTTGTCTTTAGAGGGGCAACCTCCTTTTCCTGAGGTTCGGGGACCTCGATTTTGGCAACATTGTAGCGGTGCTTCAACTCATGCCACTTGTTTCTGCCCATTATGCCTGCAAACACAAGAAACCAAAGGCATCAGCAAAAGAAGGTTTTACAAACCCTAACAATCTAAGAAAGACGGGATACTCACCCTCTAAGCCCCCCTCCTTGTGCGCCGAGTTCGTAAGCGACAGGATGAGCTTGCAATCCAGCGGGCGAGGAAGTGCTTCAAGGTTTTTAATGGCAGCCGACTCTGCAGCCGTCAGTTGCAATTTCCCTTCCCCATGAAATCTAGTCGGGGTTGGCCGCCAATAGAGGGGAAACTTCGGTAACCCGCCGAAGTAAAACGCCCCATCCTCCAACGGGTTGACATCCACAAGCGCCACCCGGAAAAATTCTTGTTTGAAATTTTTGTATGATTGGGAGTAAAGGGTAAACAAACCCCCATCCTTACTCCCACTCAGAGACATTATGCCATAAGAAGGAACGCCCATTTTTAACTGGTAAAAATGAAGAAAAATGGGCAGAGACACCTCTATCCCCAAGGCCGAACACAGGACTTGGAAAGCCCTCAAAAAACCCCAACTATTGGGGTGCAACTGGCAAGGAGCCGAGTTGATGAAATTCAAAAAGTCACACTCGAATTGAGTGAAAGGAAGACAAACACCTAAATCCCTAAAAAGACACTAATATACATAGAAATGAGGAGGGTTAGAAGAACTCCCCATATAGACATGCTCGTCGGGCCGACAGGGCTCGAGCCGGACAAACGCGGAGACGGAAGAATCATAGATCCTGTGCAATTTTCGTATCGCATTAATCTCCATGAAAGACCTGAACACACTCTGGCACTCCCCCAAGTCGCGCCTGACCCAGTCGTAGCCAGGAACGCCGGGGGCAAGATCCTTAGGCGGGTTCTCCGCCTTTTTCTTTTCAGCGGCGGCCGTTCCGGTAGCCACCGCCTTGCCGCGTGCCTTACCCTTGCCCCTGGCAAGCGCAGAAGATGCGGCACCACTCTCTCCAGCCATCAAGAAAATAAAAAGACTCGAAGAAGGAAAGATTTGAGAAGAAGGAGAAAGAAGACCACAGAAAGGAAGTACCTGGTACCCTTCCCCAGAAAATAACCCTAACAACAACTGGGTTACCGAAAACGGCGACGGAGACAAAGAAAATGGAGACAAAAGATGAACAGAGGCACGAGAAGCAGCGTGCGCGAGAAGTCAGGAAGGAAGAAAATGAAAAGGAGTAAAGTGAATGGGAAGGGGCGCGAGAGAGAGAAAGAAAAGGTTTCCTCCAAAATTCAAAACGGCCACGACACGTGTCGGTCAGGAAACACAACTGACGACACCTTAAAGGAAGCCCATTATGACGAGTACAAGTCATCATTGCATAACCGTCACTCCCATTAACACGCCGCCTGCAGGTTTTCGAGGACGAGGCGACGGTTGTAACACATGGCATCCTGACAGGCAGGCATACGCGAAAGGTCACTGCTCCCTGACGAGCTCGGTCTTAACTCCTCGACCTACGGTCTTCGAAGCTCGGGGGGCTAGTGTACTATCCGTACTGCAAAGTCGAGCTCCGAGCTTGACATCACAGCGCAGGACAACCTCGGACACGCGCTGTGTGACGTCAGCTCGTCACCCAAATAGGTCATAACTGGTCTCGGGCCCAAAGCCCAGTAAAACCCTAATTCATACTAAAGTACGTGCATTATTTATACGAGACTAATATTCCCACAAACCCTAACTTTGGCATCGGAGTCTCTTTTGCAGGTACCACCCCCATCTTGGAGCAACAAGCGTACCAGTGAAGGAGGCTCACCGATCTTACCCAACAGATCGTCCCTACCACCGATCTTCGGTAATAACACTATTTAATAATTTTTCCTAATTTGTATAAAATTAATTTAGAACAACCCTTATTATGCGAGAGAGAAAATACGGAATAAAAATTAGATACAATTTTGTAAGTTTTGTGTGTTATTTTTCTATTAGACAGAGTTTTACTTCGTAATTTATGTAAGAAAAGTTTAGATTAAAAGATTATGCATAATAACTTTAATTGAAGACATAATAATCCTATATAAGTTTTGTGCTTCAAACTCTCATTTAGTAACTCATATTTCATATTAAATTTCAACAATCCAACCATTGAATTTAAAGTTCTTAATATATAGATCAAATATGCAAAATTTTAAAACATTTGAAAACCATTTGATACTTCGTTTCATTAATTCAAATTGACGGATAATCATAAAATCATTTTATACACTGATTTGAATTAATCAAACGAAGTATCAAATGATTTTCAATTTTTTTTTAAAAGTTTGCAGATTTAATCTATGTATTAAGAACTTTAAATTTAACGGTTGGATCATTGAAATTTGATGTAGAACATGAGTTATTGAACGGAGTAAACGGGTCTTCTCTATATATATATATAGAGAGATCCGTTTACTCTAAGAGTAATCTCTATATATATATAGAGAGAGAGAGATTCGTTTACTCCAAGAATAAGTCTACCTAGACTTACTCTGTTCAATAACTCATGTTGTACATCAAATTTCAATGATCCAACCGTTGAATTTAAAGTTTTTAACGCATAGATTAAATCTGTAAATTTTTAATAATTTTGAAATCATTTGATACTTCATTTCATTTGAAATGTATAAAATAGTTTTATGATTATCCGTCAATTTAAATTAATGAAATGAAGTATTAAATGATTTTCAAATTTTCTAAGGATTTGCATATTTGATCTATGCATTAAGAACTTTAAATTCAACGATTGAATCATTAAAATTTGATGTAGAACATAAGTTATTGAACGGAGTAAATTTAGGTAAACTTACTCCTAAAGTAAACGGATCCCTTCTCATATATATATATATATATATATATATATATATGTGTGTGTGTGTGTGTGTGTGTGAGAGAGAGAGAGAGAGAAGAGAG